AGAGAGAGAGAGAGAGAGAGAGAGAGAGAGAGAGAGAGAGATTAACCATGGATGGTAGATACTAACCGTGGCTGTTAGAGAAAGCCCTGGACTAGGAACCACATTCGGCCAGAAAATCGAGTCCGATAAAGGATCTGCTGTGCTACAATTGGTCAGCAGTGGGACAGCACGGAGAGATGCAAATGGATACGGAGTCCTGTGAAGAGGCAATCCCAACACATCCCCCTCACCAACATTATTCACTTTTTGAGATACATTTTCATGTCCAATCTCATTGCTACACCTGTCATTATATGTTAGCGATGCAGCCCTCTCTTGCATATTCTTAAAGGCGGCAGACTCAGACAAGATACCACAAGCTGTCAGCAAAGGAGAACGTTGCATGTTTTTACGTGAAATTCCTAGCGAGGGAAGTTGGTATGGTGCGGTAGGTTGGCATGGCCATTCAAAGGCTTTGGATTCACTATGAGCAATGCTGTCTTTTGAGGGAAAACGCGAATCTTCATAGGTTCTAATGATGGAATCTCCTGCATGTAATCTATTGGGTCTCCACCATTTGATGTAACCAGTTAGGTCAATTTTATTCCCAATTCCACCGAAGCCTCCCATATGCTCATTCTCCATTGCTGGCTCCTCACTTGTACCTGGATAACAAAACCACCAGCTAGTTATCCAAGTGACATAAACCATACAAAAGCATGACAAAAAGCTGGATTGATCCCAATGCTAAGACTCACTTCCACAATGCAAATACTTGTTTCCGAGAATCCTTCCAACATTTGTGTCCCATCGACCACTCTGTGCTTGTCTGGACAAGAACATGATAGAGCAACACTTGAGATCAGCAAAAGAGAAAGCAACATAATACTAGCAAACAGCTGAAGAAATTTGAGCACAACAAATTGTCTACAAAAGAAACCACATACACGAAGATGAAAATTAACTTGAAATCGTGAACCGTATCCAGCATTGTTAGATGGCATGCCACTGATCACATTGTCATGACCTGTAAATATCAAGTGAACTACTATTCTAATCAAACTTTCAGTTGTCTGTTAAAGATTGCGTTTAGTAGTTAATAGTGTCGGAATACATGAGCGGGAAACTAGTGATTGAAAACTAGGGAGTCTGAATCAGACTCCCCCAAATCACTTAGAACTGGCGCTTTACCAGCTCCCTGACTAACTCGGATAAGCTGTCCTAAATGATTCTGTCCAGGTCTTTAAAGAAAACCTGTGATTTCTGGTCCAGATCTAGATCAGATAGACTCCGGACTTGGCAAGCTGAATCAAGCCTGCTCCCTGCCCAGTTCCGTGCCTTGTACCATGTTTTTTAACACTAATGTTATCCTACAAACATATGAGATATATGCCCTCATATAGGTAATTCCATATTTCCAAAATAGGAAACAGTAAAAGGAAAGAGTATGGGGAAGAAAACAAATGAATTATTTATCTGAAATAGAGAGGGGCAGGGGGAGGGGGAGGAGGGGGTGGGGGGGAGGGAAGGCATTAGAGATAGATGTGTGTGAAATGGAGGGTGGATGTCGAGACATGCCTGCACTGGTGGGCAGTGATTGTTTTCAAAGATATCTGTGAGAATAAAGATGTATCATTTCAGCAAGTCCTGGTAGGGCGAAGTCAGGATGCATATGCCTTAGCTAATGATGCTGTGGATGGGGAGTCCTTGTTGGTTGAAGATGGAAGCAGTCTTTAGGAGGTTCATTTGTTGTCTGAGTTCGACTTCCAGTATATTCTACCTCACAATTTACTTCAATGAAATTTTGTAAATTATCCCAAAAAAAGAATAGGTTCAATATGTAGGAAAGCAGACATGTAGTTATATCGCTTGTGCAATGGTATGTATATACGCTTCCCAGAAGAACTATTAAGCTTTTTCAAAAATTCCAAAAGCTCAGCATTATTTCAGCTTGAATACCTTCATGAAGCATGCGGTACAGAAAAATGCCTAAGGAGCACACCTTTTTCCTCCACCTTCGTACAAGTATAATACATTTCAAGGTCGCATAAACATAAATATGACTTTCGAGTTACAGCAGATCCACCAATAAAAAATTGTACTAGGCTCAGGTTAGACTGAAAAACACAGTAACTCATTCAAGTACTTAAAGGACTCAACCCTACCCTGAATCATACTTTTTCCATGGTTTTGACAGAAAACTCATTGGACGCCTGAGCTAAGATGTCTCAGGGTGCTTTAAGTCCTTTCCCCAAAATTTTAAACATTGTACAAGACATGCCTGCACTGGTGGGCAGTGATTGTTTTCAAAGATATCTGTGAGAATAAAGATGTATCATTTCAGCACGTCCTGGTCAGGGCAAGTCAGGATGCATATGCCTTAGCTAATGGTGCTGTCGATGGGGAGTCCTTGTTGGTTGAAGATGGAAGCAGTCTTTAGGAGGTTCATTTGTTGTCTGAGTTCGACTTCCAGTATATTCTACCTCACAATTTACTTTAATGAAATTTTGTAAATTATCATAAAAAAAGAATAGGTTCAATATGTAGGAAAGCAGACACGTAGTTATATCGTTTGTGCATGGTATGTATATATGCTTCCCAGAAGAACATTAAGCTTTTTCAAAACTTTCCAAAAGCTCAGCATTCTTTCAGCTTAGATGTCTTCATGAAGAATGTGGTACAGAAAAATGCCTAAGGAGCACACCCTTTTCCTCCACCTTCGTACAAGTATAATACATTTAAACGTCGCATAAACATAAATATGACTTTTGAGTTCCAGCAAATCCACCAATAAAAAATTGTACTAGGCTCAGGTTAGTCTGAAAAACACAGGAACTCATTCAAGTACTTAAAGGACTCAACCCTACCCTGAATCATACTTTTTCCAAGGTTTTGACAGAAAACTCATTGGACGTCTGAGCTAAGATGTCTCAGGGTGCTTTGAGTCCTTTCCCCAAAATTTTAAACATTGTACGAGTCTAGAGAAAGAATAAGCCATATAGCTTCATCATCACCTAGATGCAGTTGGGAACTTTGTTACTTAGTCAAGTCTCAACTCTTAATTTTGACTTCATGAAGTGCTCCTATGTTTACATAGGAAGATGTGCATCTACCCATTTCCAAGGTATCTCAAAAGAGATAAGTAACAGGTTTCTCCATGATGTGGTCCTATGCTAAGAAAATGGATCTGACTTCTGTAATCCTGCAGGCCTGCGTCCAAAGGCGTTATACACATTTATATTAAGATCTGACAACCTATTTCAAAACCAGAAAACCATATGAAGCAGTACAATTTACAAATCTAGACCTAAAGCCCACAAGGCTAGGCCTCCAAAGGTCTATTTGAAGCTTGATTAGACTGTAGATCCTTTGAGAACCCAGGGTCAACAGGAAATGAAGACTTTCTCAAAGATTAACAAGGAAGAGTTGTCAAAACTGTTACTTATCTAGTGGGCAATTGTGACTATACCTGTCTAGCTATGCAGAAAAGGAGCACTCTTGAAGGAAATGTCACCAATATGAAGGAAACAATTATTGTAGAGAAAAGATGAGAAACATATAGTAAAATTTCCATGTAAGGGGATTAGGTGTCTACTTCTATCTTCTAGGGGTCAAGGGGGCAAATGGGGAGAATAATAGTTGAGCTTATGTTGGAGAGAGAGAGAGAGAGAGAGAGAGAGAGAGAGAGAGAGAGAGAGAGAGAGAGAGAGAGAGAGAGAGAGAGAGAGAGAGAGAGAGAGAGAGAGAGAGAG